CCTCAGCACTTTCGACGCCATCCTGTTCCACACGCCCTTCTGCAAGCTGGTGCAAAAATCCGTGGGCCGCCTGAGCTTTAACGACTTCCTGCTGAGCAGCGAGGCGGAGCGGACGAAGCAGTTCCCCGGTCTGGAGCGGTTCAATAGCTCCAGCCTGGAGAGCACCTACTTTGATCGCGATGTGGAGAAGGCCTTCCTCACGCAGTCTGCGGATGTATTTGCCAGCAAGACCAAGAAATCGCTGCTGCTGGCCAACCAGGTGGGCAATATGTACACGCCGTCGGTGTATTCCGGCCTGGTGTCGCTGCTGATTGGAGAACCAGCCAGGGAGCTGGTGGGAAAGCGCATTGGCGTGTTCTCCTACGGATCCGGACTGGCAGCCTCCATGTACTCGATAAGTGTTACCCAGGATGCGGCTGTCTTCGAGCAGTTCGTCTCGAAGCTGGACTACGTTCAGCCGCTGCTCAATTCGCGCGAGAAGGTGGCTCCTGAGCAATTCTCGGCCCTGATGGAGGTGCGGGAGAAGAACAACCATGCGGCGCCGTACACGCCCACGGGTAGCATCTCCGCCCTGTTTCCTGGCACCTACTACCTAAAGGACGTGGACTCACTGCATCGACGCACCTACGAGCGCACGCCGACCATCAGCAACGGGGTGCACTAACCCTGGGCTATCGGTTCTTCGGTTTGGTTCAGGTTTCGCCTCCAATTTGACAATAACTCTAAAACTCTCGACCAAACCCATGTAAGCTGTAGCTGTAGATGGTAACTATTTATAACTGGTGTGATCCCAGGGGTCGCTTTCCTTTCTCTCTTCTTATCCGCGTCCTAATCGCATATATAGTACTACACCTATTATTTATACAAGCTTGCGAATTAAATCTTTCACCCAGTCAGACCTTATTTATACCATGGAACAAGTCTTAACTAGCGTCGGTACTGCAATTTATGCCTATAAATGTACAATACTTATACCTGTGTGTAAGGCACACAATCAATTGTTTTACGAACAATAAAAATCAACAAAGTCAAACGAACTTATCGGTTATATACCTCCTATTTATTATCGGAATTAACTTATTTCACCGCTCATCTTGGCAACGTAGATTAGCAATGTGGAAAATTGTGTATAAAAGAGCATATTCGATTTGATGGCAGCGGTTGATTTGCATATCTTCAGATCACAACGCTGTAAACTTGTAGAAAGTTACGCCTGCGGCAGAGGAAAATAAAATAAATTGAGAGCCAGATTAGGTTACAACGAAAGACTTTACCATTGGGATTGACGCGAGTGATGAACTGGCTCTCCGATTGGAAGACTCCCAACTTATTGCGAGCATTGTAAAGATCCTGTACGCGATATCCCTTGGGATTGGTCAGTCCGAGCTCCTTGACTGTGAATGGAATCCTGTAGGGAGCACCATCATCCCGACGACTCACGAAGGCCACAGCATAGGAATGATGTCCACTCTTGGCCACCGGAGTAATGGGTCTTTGCCAGACTTCGATTTGGTTTCGGGACAAAACACGACGTCCCTGGATGCCGAGCTCATCTTGGTCCACTGCAATTACGGCACTAAAAAGGTACCTCCATTAGCATAAAATCTAAGAAGTATATCTAGGCTAGACAAACCGGTTCTGCAGTATATCCTTGATCTCAGGACGTACTGCCGCCAGATCATTGGACATAATTAGAGGTGCAGCCATAATCGCCCAAATGGCCATCTGCAGCCTGCTTTGATCGTAGCTTAGACCATAGTTCCCCAGCAGCAGCATATCCGGATCGTTCCAGTGACCTGGTCCTCCGTGCGGCTGAATTCTGTCTTGGTTTTTGGCAAAGTAGTCCATTATCTGCATCAGAGACTCCAAGGAGTCGTCAATATCGTCCCAGTTGCGCCACAGATTGCAGTGCTTCTTAAGCGACTCGTAGTCGGGCATCTCACCGGCATCTTCTTGGTAGGCGGGCCAGCTGCAGGAGTACACCATCGGACGACCCGTTTCATTCAGCAGGCGTCCAAACTCCGGATAGCCCGTGGCCATGTCGCTGATGTTGGCATAGCAGCCATCCAGTTTCACATAGTCCACATCCCAATCGGCAAAGGTTTGGGCATCCAGCTGCATGTGCTTGATGACTCCGGGATAGCCAGCACAGGTGTTGGTGCCGTAGTCCTGGTACAATCCAAACTTCAGACCCTTTTCATGAATCTGAAAAATGTTTTGTTAATTATGAGCTTTTAAGGGGTATAACTAATATAAATTACATGATCGGACAGGGCATTTAAGCCGCTGGGAAAACGCTTTTTGTCCGGCACCAGTTTCTGGGTATCATTGTCGCGGTTCTTCTCCAGCCAGCAGTCATCTATGATGACGTACTCATAGCCAGCAGCCGCATAGCCCTCGGATACCAGGAGATCCGCGTGTCGGCTGAAGAGTTTCTCACTAAAAGGGGTTTAAAAAAGAGGAAACTCGTAGAAAATGTGTGGGATTATGATCAGTTTTGAATTTTACCTAATGCACTCGTCAGGATAAAGTTGGCAGTCGGTCAGGCAACGAAAGCTGAAAGTAATGCAAAGAATTTGTTGAATATTATAAGAATAATTAAAAGTCATAAAGCTCTTTTGCCTTTATTATATATATGATATACATTTAAAACCATAAATTTAGTACGCGTAGAAGGTCAACAGATACTAATTTTGCTATACGTTCATAGCTTATTAGCTTAAGCTCCCTTTATATTTTATATGAAAATAGGTGACCCTAAAAGCATTTAAATAAAAAGAACTTTGCTTAACCGTCGTACTTAAAAATATGTTTTTTGAAATTGTTAAAAATTTATAAGCACATGATTATTAATTTTGATTAAACTTGAAAAACATGTATGGTGTTAAAAAACAGAGAACAGTCATTGAAAAAACAGGCTTGAGGCTGATTTGGAACTTGTTGCTTAAAGCTTAGTCACATCGAAAAAAATTGTTTGTACAAAAAAATGGCATAGAAGGCCCCTTTTCCCTACAAAATTCTACCCGAGATAAAGTTTCTATTACTCAGCAGCCTCTTCCGGAGAACAAACAAATTTATAGTTTATACTTTTAGTATACCAAACCACATTTTCAGTTAAATGAGGTAGAGATCTATTTGAAGATGGGAATGCAAGATTACTCACCGCTCCCAAGACATCCAGCCCATAGGTGGCCTGAAAGGAGTGAATTTCAATTTAGGAAAAGCGAATCTAATCATAATTAAATACTCACTTGAGTGCCAAGCCATTGTCGAGGCCCACAGCTAGTTGCAGAACCTGTAGCAGGAGGATCCCGCCCAGAAAGACGGCCCACGTTCTTCCGTACATCGCGAGCATTTGGCGTCGACTGAATCCTGGCCTTTGGGCTGCCAGGGAATTTATATGCTCTTGCGGCGGCACTCCAGATAAGTTTGTTTGCCGGGGGCACCTGAAGGGGCAGCGGAAGAGGTAGTGGTAGAGGAGCTCGAGACCCGGCAGAAGGTTAGTGGCTAATTGCTATTGCAGTGGAGCACACCCATCGACTGATTGGTGTTCGCCGGGTGGGACAAACAGCGGGCTCTTTCGATTGCAGGAGGAGCCGGAGCCCCTTATCACGCCAAGTTCACAGCGATCACAGGGAGCAAACAGCGAAATGCGAGGAGCGAACAGAGGCTTTCTGATATGCTTTTGTTGTTCAATTCTGGCGCTGTTTGCCAGCTAAACTGGCCTACAAAATTGGGGAACTTGGGGAGCTGAAACCATCGGAAAGTGATGGGAAAATGTTAGTAAGTAGACAGGAAATACTTAATAGGTACTTTTTGATTCTGATAAGAAATAAATTAAATACCCAACACCAAGTATATTAATTCAAATTTGGTATATTGACAGTTCCAGAGCGGATTATTTTTGTGACGGGGTTCCTAACTTTTTCAAAAAGTACATTACTATTTGGAAATATTTGAAAATGTTTAGAAATATTTCATCAAAGAAACATTTGTCTTTAAATTTTAAGATGTTTTAAATTAAAATTTTGTATGATTTGTTATTTTGAATCCTTTGGAAAATGTAAATAATTTTAAATATTTGTTAACATAAGGCAAATTACGAAAAGAGTTCTTGAACTATTTTTTCATCCTCATGATAAGCTTTAAATTTGTTTAAAACTATGTAATTTCATACGTTTTCTTACTATTAAATATTTCACTTTTTAAGGTATACCATTTGTACCATGGGTACTTTTTAATTACTTGTGATAACCTATGTTACCTTTCCCAGCTTGAAAAATATCGTAATTTTCCCTTCTGATAGTGATTACAATTACACACATGTGTTTTGCTGAGCTAGCAAATGCAATTAATGAACCAAGTGCCATTGCACTCCCGGTTTGTAATTAAATTCTTGACCCAAATGTTACCTTATCGCTTTTCCACTTGTAGATAGCGAAAGGTGACTAATTAAAGCCGGTGTTTTGTTGTTGATTTTGTCATTCACTTTCTTGTAGGCTTGATTGTTGTTGTTCGGAACTTACCTATTTATAAGCTATTCAATTTAAGCGGATTAAATTTTCGTTGCGCATAATGCAAACAGCGGCTAAAAAATGACACAAAACCAGTGTTGATTTCGATTGGCAAAGTCTAAGCCGAAATTTTTAAAAATATAACATTTTTATTTAAAAAAGCTTAACTAAAAACTAACTAACATGAATATTTTATTTATTGTGTCTTAATTTTGAAAAGAAGAAATATTTACATTTTTTATCATGTATAAAGTGAGATATTTAATATCTATATTTAATCAATTGATTGGTTATTTAATTTAATTAAGTTTTTTTTTATTTAAATGGCAATGATTTGTTTTAGCTTAATATAATTTATTTATTTGATAAGTAGGCTATATATACAATTTGTTGATGTTTGTTGATATCAATAAAAGTATTTGAGCAAATTTTAAAATATCTAGCATTTGAAATCTAAAAATAATTTTATGTTCAATTTACCCGCCCAACCCAACAAGTTTCTGCAAATTTTGGCTTGAAAGTAGCTAAATTGCAATTACACCGGGAAGAGCTGTTTTCCAACACTGACAACTTTACTTCAAGGAGTGTTAACACTGGTGACTTTTGGCGTGTTTTCGTTTGATTGCAGATTTATTAATTTCTGTGATTTGTCTAGACTTTGAGAATGGTATTCCAGTTGCCTACGACCACGGCTGCTCCGATAGGAGGGGCATCCTCGTTCTCCTTCGGCCTGAGCACGGGAACACCCGCTGCAGCCGCAGCTCCAGGAGCACCAGCCGCTGTTCCCGCCACAAAGACCACATTCGCATTTGGAGGACCAGCTACTGCTCCGAATGCGGGCGGTGGAGATGCGGACAATACTAAGACACAGGCTCAACCGGCATTCAGTGGATTTGGCCTCGCGGCATCTGCTCCAGCTCCTCTCACGCTGGGCGGTCAACCCACTAACCCGGTGTCCACTACTGCACCGGCGACTTCCGCTGCTCCTCCCGCCTTCGGAAGCTTTTTGGCCCAGCCGATAGCATCAGTGGTGCCAAATATAGCCACTAGTACACCAAACACCGCAGCCCCTACCACAGGATTACTAGGCGGAACAGGATTGGGGGCTCCCAAGAGCACAGCACCGGCTTTAACCACCTTGACAGCTGCGCCAGCGGCCATAGCTCCTCAACTAGGTGCTGCTGCGGCTCCAACTCTTAGCACCGGCGGAGCTTTCGCCAATCTTACCACCGAAACCAAGACCACGGACTCCTCGGCCATCTCCACGGCCTCCCAGCTATCCTACAACCAACTGGAGGAGCACATCAACAAGTGGACCCTGGAGTTTGAGGAACAGGAGAAGGTATTCACCGAACAGGCCACTCAGATCAACGCCTGGGACAAGCTGCTCATTAGCAACAATCAGAAGATCGTAGAGCTTAACGATGCCGTGAAGAAGGTGAAAACCGATCAGCAGGTTCTCGACCAGGAGCTGGAGTTCATAGCCACACAGCAAAAGGAGCTGGAGGACAGTCTGGCGCCGCTGGAGAAGGAGTTCGTGAATCTCCCGCGTGTGGACATGGAGCGCAGCCAGACCTACTTGATGGTGGAAAACCTGGACACGCAGCTGAAGCAGATGTCCGAGGATCTGAAGGAGATCATAGACAACCTGAACGAGGCCAACAAGGGGCAGGACACCAGTGATCCGATCATCCAGATCGGCAAGATTCTGAACGCTCACATGAGCTCGCTGCAGTGGATCGAATCGCAGTCGTCGAATATCTGCAAGAAGCTGGACGACATAGGCAAGATTCAGGACTCCCAGAAGCGAGACATCTTCCGAGCTCCCTTTTAAAGATAAGTCCATTAAAGCTTGTTAACATGTAACTTAATTAAACGATTTCTTGTAACTTCAAAAATAGTTGAGTTCTTAAAACATTGGTCCGATTGTTATTGGGAGTGCTGAGAATCGTTTTAAATGGAAATACTAATTTAAACATACATTTAAATTATTTTATCCCCATCTCCAAGAAAAAACAAGTTGAATTTCCAGAAATCCCTGTACACAGTTGCGCTCACATTATAAGAATATATTTATTTTATATAAGTCGTTCCACTTTCAATTAATAACTCTTGAAGTACTTAAGCCTAAAGAGTGGCACCCGTTTGCCTTTGGTGGCGAAGGCCAGGAAACTGCTGTGCGGCGAAAAGGCCATCGAGCTGACATAGCCCACGTTTTCGTTCTGTCCCGGGAAGTTGGAGAACACGGTGGCGCTGGGGAAGTGGGCCAGCTTCATGGCATTTGGAGCCGCACAGGAGCTCATCGCCAGTAGCTCCGATGAGTGATTGAACTGCAGATCCGAGATGCCGGTTCTCAGATTCATGAAGCGTTTCTCGGGCTGCGGAATCTTGGAGGCGAACACAGTCTCGTAGTCGTATACGTTGACCACGCCCTCTTGGGTACCGGTGGCCAGAAGCCGTTGATTGGGTGACAGTGCGATGCGCGCTCCATTGATGCAGCCGTCGTCCATAAAGGTGTGTTCGATGAGTCTCTGACGCAGGCTCAGCACAGTAACATTTGAGCTGGCGCCGCAGACGAGGACCCTTTTGGAGTCACCGGACCAGCAGATTCCAGTCACATGGCCCTCCTGTTTGAAGCTGTGCAGCAGTTCATTTGTGTTGGCCGTTAGCAGATGGATGGTTCCAAACTTGCCGGCAGTGGCGATGAATTTGCCACAGGGAGATACCTCAAAGCGGTGCATGGTCTTCAAATCGCCCGGCACCGTCAGCTTGGTTTCCTTGGCCTCCAGCAGGTCGTAGGCGTAGTAGAATCCCCTCACCGAACCAAAGAATGCCTTCGTGCCGCAGGGAGCAATCCGGGAGCAGAATAGCGGGAACTTCTTGAAGCGCATGCTGTGCAACTTCTCGTTCTTCTGCCCGTCCACCGTGTATATGGTGGCTATGGAGTTCTCGCCGGCCACCAGAGCAGCTGTGCTCGTCGGATGAAACTGAACACTGGTGACAATACCTTCGGAATAGGTGGCTCTGTTCAGGTCCTTGACCCGCTTGAAGTTCAGCGTTTTCTGGGGCAGATCACTGCTCCGAGCCCTGCGGTCGATGAAGCCCACGGTCTTAAGAAGTTCCTCATCGGAGGAGCCGTCCTCCTCTCCGTCGTCCTTGACCTTCTTTTCCGCCCACTTGGGTTGGTTAAGAGTGCGATGGAACCGCGCCGTAAGGTACTCCTTGTAGGACTTGTCCTTACGAAGGTGGTTCAGTGGTCCCGTGTGCTTGGTGGCTTTTTTGACATCGCCCACTTGGATTTCCTCGTCATCGGAATCAGACCAGGCGGCTTTCCTCTTGTCCCCTGTCTTCTGCTTGCCAGGAGTTGCTTCCTCCTTCTCGTCGTCGTCGTCGCTTGGCTGCCACTTCTGGCCCACGGACTTGGCCAGATTGGTGAGGAAGCGTTGGCGGTCACCGAAGATCACCTTCTCCATGGGCACCTCCACGTAGTTGAGTTCCTTGGCCTGCGAAGCCTTCGGCACGAAGCGTTCCCTCCGATTCTCCTTCGGTTTCTCCTGTTCCTGCTTGCCGTACAGGGCCATCAGGTCCTTGAGGTCCTCGAGACCATCGCTGGACTCGTCTGAACTCATGGTGCTCGCTGGAAATGTCCAATTATTCGTTTATTTACGCACAATTTCGTGAGCTGCACAAAAATTTACACGTGCAGCTGGGCGGGAAATTTACTAACGCCTTGGAATCAAAATACCACTAAACAGTTGACTTATCGATAAGTGTTACCACATCGATAGCAGATGGTGGAAAGCGCGCCAGATTTTGAATTAATTACATTATGTTAATTGAAAAATAAAAATAATTTAAATATAATAATAACAAAAAGTAAATAAGGAGTTTGGAAAGAAATGCATGTGAGTTTTATTTATTCAATCTTTTTTTTTATATGGTCACCTATGTATTTTAATATTATAGAGATAAGAATAAACTTTTTATTATGAGTAGCTAAATTTAAACACTCTTTTATTGATTATAACTATACAAATTATGAGTATGACCTTGTAGGTTTTATAATGTCATATCTATTTATTTTAAAATCCTCTGCAGCTCTAACTGACATCGTGGATTTCATATTTGCGGTTCCTTTTGGAAATGCGACCCTGGCAAAGTTTTAAATGACGGTTGAGGAAACCTTCCAATTTGTACATTCGCCCACAGCGATCGCAGCTAAAGTCGGCCTTTCTTTTCATGTTTTCAGTTTGCTTACTCTCCGCTTCCTTGACCTTGATCTTCTGAACGCAATCGTCGCAGGCATATCGACGGGCCATTTGGCCGGGCCTAAAACTGGCCAAGAAATCCTTCCGGCAGAAAAGGCAATTGAAACACTTGGTGACGGTCAACTCGCCATCTTCGGAGACCGGCTTGGAATTCCGTGACCTCAGATGGGTCTTCAAATGAGCCCGATACTCAACCTCAGTCTCGAACTTCAAATTGCAGGATCCACACCTCCGTGTGATTTTCATATTACCGTGAAGCAGCCTGTGGCGGCCCAGAGATTCCACGGAGTTAAAGTGCTTTTTGCAAATGCTGCACATCATCACTATTCCATCCTTTTGCATATTTTTGAAGCGTCTTTGGCAGGCCAGCATATGGACCTTGAAGGCGCCGCCCGTGCGAATTCCATTGGCACAAAACGGACAGTGGTAAAGCAGCGTGTTGTCCTCTGGGAAAACTGCAGGCTTTCGCTCCGCCAGCGGCTTCTTAATCCTCGGTTCCGAGCACGGGGCTATAAACACCCTGGTGACGATGCCGTCCTCCTCCTTCTCCGACAACAAAGTGGCCGGTTCAAGCTCCACGGAAATCCAGTTTTCGCCACTTGTCATGATGCGTTTCGATTCGCCAGGTAAAAGGCTACGAAGAAAGTGAGAAAGTCGCCTGTCATTGTGATAGAAAGAAAGTAGGTACTCGATTCCCGATACTCGGAAGCTGTCAGGGATGGCAATAAAGAAAGGTTATGCGGAAAAAGTATACTACAAAATATAAGACTTTTGAATTCAACCGTCTATGATTTATTGACAACGGTTAGCTTACACCGAATTCAAAAACTAAAAGAAACCTTTGCCTCATAAAGCTATTGTTCGGATAGAAAGGTAACTCGCTAATTGTAAAGAAGGTACTTTTGAAAGACAAACTTATTTATCAGAGGAAACATACACCATTTCTTAAAATTTGGTAGAAAAGTTTTGTAATTGGGAGAATAATACTAATACTTATAGGATCGTATTACAAAGGTGTTAAACTGTTGTTTCAGTTGTTTCATGCCCTATCTTTAAGAAATCAATGGATAAAGCATATTTATTTATTATTGGTTAGTTACACAGTTTATAATATTTTTTTCACCTTTTAAGTTTCCGAGTTAGCAATATATATTACGGCCTTATCTTTAAATTACCTGCCATTTTAAAAATTTGAATTTGATAAATGTCAATGTGACAGAAAGTTATCGATGGAATCCCCGTTTTTTTTGGGGTTGATATTATGTTACAACAATTTTACAACTTAGCATTATTTTAATAATCTTATCACCTAAAATAATTAACTAAGTCACGTTAAAACAAAATTCATCAAGGAAACATAGTTTAGGGCAAACTAAATAAATTACAGAACTTAAAATCTGTTAGCTTATCTGAACTTTTAACATAAATCTAAAATTCAGGAACATGTCTTCCGAGTGTACTTAATCACCGCCCAACTCCTTCTATTGTGGTAAGCTTCGGATCCTTGCTTTATGACACGCGTAATGCGAGTCAAAATATGCAATTAAACAAAAACTTCTTGACTGGAAAAATATTTGCATAACTTGGGCAAACAAATGTCGGAGCACGTCGTCCTCGTCACCAGTCGACAATGCCGAGTTGTTGTTGAACTTGTCATTACACACGCACAAACAGGGAGTACCAGTCATCAGAGCCACCCACTATCCACCCACCCACCCATCTCACTAAAGTGCGGATTAATAGCTGGGGTGGTGGTGGTGCTGCTGCTGCTGCCAGAAATCAGCGCTCGTAAAATTTACGTAAAATTCATTAAGCGCAACAAAAGACGCTGGCTGAGAGGAAACAGGTTGGGCCCAAAAAGGGGCGGCTGCAATCGCTTAGAGACAAAGCCCTGCATAGTTGATAAGGCGCGTCCTTCGGGGGGTGGGGGTTGGGGTTGGTTTGTGTGGGAGGTGGGCAATGGGTGATGGGTGGTTGGGTCTCTAGGTGGCCCGGTGATGGCTGGCATCTTGTGGTGCCCGCAAGTGTCTCCTGCCAAGTCAGGCGTCAAGCCTCACTGAGAGCAACCAATTTTTGTCATTTCAAAGGATACAGCGCTATTGTTGCTCCATCAAGGCGGAGTTACACTTAAAAATAATTATCTATAAATATTAATCATGTTTTTAAGAAATTGCTTGTTGGTTGGGGCTTGGAAAGTGTTTTTGACTAGCAGTCTTTGATTAGCATACAAAAATAGAAAATAGTCCGATAGATATCTTACTTTTTAGTAAAAACAAGAAACTAAGCTTCCTTTTCTAAAGTACTTGTTACTTTTTAAACTTTTTCTTCTATAATAAGTATGTATTATTGTTTGACTATTAGAAATTTGTGATTATTTTTATGAGCTCTCAGTTTTTTTCCTTTTAAAAAACAATTTGTTTACTGTTGCTTCAATGAAAACTCAGGAAATAGCAATATCTCTTAATAAATAACAAGACAAAATTTTGATGAGCTTAGTTTTGAATGAGAATTTATATTTCATAGGGTTTTAGGGAAGGTACTAAACTTGAAAACTATTTTTGTAAAGTGCTCTTCTAATATCCTTGAGCTCTTGTGCAGCGAGGCGCGGCGATGCAGCGCTCCTTAAGTAGCCCGACATTGTGGCAGATCCTTTGCCAATCGCAATCCCTGCTCCCAGCTCATGGTGCCCAGGGTTGCCAGAGTTCCCATAGCCCGACTCCTGCCGACTGACAGATTAGCGTGTTGACATTAAGTTTGTCCTTTGTCAGGGCAGCCTCACATATGGCTTTAAGTATCGGGCGAATCCAGCTGCACATGCAAATGCTGATGGGGCCACGCATTACAGCATGTTGCGGTCGCTCGCGGTGGGCGGGCGGCGGATGTGGGGGCGTGGCTGCTGCCTTCTTTCCCCCACGTATCCTGGATGATGGCTCCTGTGGCATGTAATGAGTTTTCCATTGCCCCGCACACGGTGCATCAGGTTCCACGAACCTACATCACCGCTGATTTGTGCGGCTGATAATGGGGTGTGCGGTAATGCCGGTAATTAACGTCTTTCTGTCCACCGATATCGGGATATTGACGACCATTGTCAAGGGCGTGCTTTATGCAGAAAAGCCTTCCAAACACTGGCCAACAAACAGAATTAAGCCAAATGGAAAATCTGTCCACACAAAGCATAATACTTTGTTGGGGCAATATTAGCGAACAATGGGTTCTGAAATTGTATTGACAGTTATGCTCAAAATAATAGCATTAATAACCATTAAAGCAAATACTTCAAATACTTTATGAATTGTGAACAATTTTAGAACGTAAATAAAAACAGGATTGATTTATTTATTTATTTTGAATGTTGGTATTTAGATTTGATAAGTTTGAAAAAGTTATAAAGTTATGAACAAATATATATGGTAGCTAGGATTTCGAAGATTTTTATTATTATAAGTTCAATTCTAAATTCAGTTCAGAATATAAAATTTATAAGCTCTGATAGAATAGTAGTGCTAATATAGTCTAATTCGTGTAAATCTTATTTCCTTTTATAGTTTACTGAATGTAAATACCCATGTAAATTGCTATAACAGCTCCGAATGGTCAGTGCTTCAAACCAAAATTTTGTTGTTAAGCATAAGTATGTCTAAAGCAAATGGAAATGACGGTGGAAAACTATTGAAAGCTAGCTGAAAATGGCCAGGAAAATAAAGGGCTTGCGGCCAACGCTTTCATGTCGACCATAAAAATAGCAGACGCATAAAAAATTAATAAGCGGTGGTTGCCCGCGAGCGAGGACGACGCATTGCCGTTGTTCTTGTCTCTGGAATAAAAAACCCTTCTGTCCCGACGAACGCCCCCCCGAACCCTTGCCCTAGACTTTCTTGACCCCCCCAACCCCCCACTATTGTCCACTGTGGCAGACATCATTAATGCATAATTCAAGCGTTTGGCAGTTTTGTGCTCGATGCTTTCAATATTCAATTTGAATGCCGCCCAAAGCGATTCGAAGCGGTTTTGTGTTTGTGTCTGCAGCATTGTTGTCCTTTTTTTTTTCTTGTTTTCTGCCCCATTTTGTTTTCGTCTTCGTTTTCATGCTCGCTTATTTATTTGACCGCCCCCCAATTTCCACGCCCACTTTTCCGCTTTTCCATCACCGTAAACTACCTGCTGCATTATTCAGACGCCTCGACTCGGAATCGAACAAAATGCATGATAAACAATTTCCACTGAGAGAAAGGGGGGGTAAGTGGGGCAAGAGAGGGGCGGAGACAATGGCCGCTTAGTCTCGTCATCTTGCTGTTGTTTTTCCGACCAGTTTTCCCCTTTTTCCCGCCCTCAATCGAAGGCCTCACAGTGTCGTTCAGAAGAATAGAAAAAGTCATTTTTTTAACCCAAGAACAAGGAAAATAACAAGTCCTTTTCAACTTAGGGCCTTTGACGATTTACTAATTACGACTTCATTCTGCATTTATGGAAATAATGATATATAGTCTTTAAAATCAGTTTTATTTAAAATGTAAATTAAGTCTTTATTTAAATATTTAAAGTTTACATTGTTAAAAAGATTGATATTATAAAAAGGTATTATAAATAGATTTTTAAACCAGAAACTAACATAAATGTTGTAAAAATATGTTTAACCATTTCTTTTATAATATAATTTAATTTTAATATATTTCTTGTTCATAAAATATATGTTTGAGTATCATCTTTTAAGTATTGGTAAAAGTTGTTCGCTTGATATTTTCTTTGTGATTGTCAGTGCTAAAAGAAAATAAAATTTCCGTCTTCAGTGCCATTATCTTGACCTCAGCTGTAAGCTCTGCATGCGTTAGTTGTTTATTAAATATAAATGATTGTCACTTGCGGCATGTTGTTGCCGTGTCCCTTTCAAAGTAAAGCGAAATGTTGATGGTGATGATTGCTCGAATTTCATTGAGCCAGGACATGGCTGCAGGACATTGGGGTTCCTTATTGCGATTCCCTGTTTGAGCTGCAATTGCTTGCAATTCTCCCCTTAAATGCGAGGACATGTAAGGCACTTTTCTTTTAGGCGGGCGCCGCTTTGACAAGTCATGCAATTGATATCGATACTGGCCATTTGCTCGTCATAAATGTGGATTGTCACGACGGCATCCCGTCATCAAAGTGTAGTCCGTTGATTTCCACCAACCCGTCAGGACCACCGCTGTGCAATCATCGTCAATCGCCCGATATTGACCACAAAATGCCATTAAAAAATAATTACGATTTTTAATTGGCATTTAGTTGGGACAAAAAATTAAGTGCGTTCAACATAAAATGTGATTACACCCGTTGCACATAGAAAAAAAAAGGGATGGGATAAGCGAGGTGTGTGCAGCAATTAACTTTCAATCGGATTGTCATACTTGATAATCGAGGGTTCTACGGAATCCTTTAGCGTTTTAAGCCTTAGGTTTTTCCAAGCATATGAGCTGCATATAAGCTTCAGGAGTATTAAATTTCACATTTGCCTACAAGTCATCATAGTTAGAAATTTAAAAATATTTCACATCCAAACAAAATTATACTTACTTTATAATATTTATAATATTTTTAAGGGGCTACTTACTAATCCTAACATTTTA